TAGAATCAATTTAATAGAGCTGTCACTATGTTACAGAGAAAGCAATCATACATTTCAAAGGGTACACAAACTCAAAGAAACATGTTGACAGAATTACCTCCACATGCCTCCCTTTGCTAATCTCAAGAGTTTGTTTGGAGTGACATTTTTTTTTTTCCTCCCTGAATAGCCCAACACAAAGTGGGGGATTCACTATAGCAAGGGAGCCCAGAATGATGGGATTGTTACTTCAAACATTTTTCTAATATGAATATAGCATATAGCAAGGAAATTGCAGCACTCATCTCTCACTTTAACAACATATACTCATCTCCCTCCATCAATTGCACATTTTATATTTTGGCAGTGTCATGGAAACTCTGCAAGATTTTAGCACTGTGGCCCATTGTACTATATCCTATTTCATCTTTTTCCACAGAAAAGATACTATACTTTTAAAAAATCATTTCCAGCTATATGTTTTAATGACTTAACTATTAATCTTTTCATGCAACTGTACAATTAAGTATAGATTATGATGCTATTTTGAGTAAGATATTAATAATACAACAAGAATGAACAATTCAGAAATCTTTTTTTAACATAAGTTTTTTTTTTTTTAACACAGTGCTGGTTTCAATTTTATGCTTGAGAGGATCACATCTCATGCAGTTTACAAAAATGAGGCAATAATTAAATTTATAATATTTTCAAAGTTAATCAGGAATACATATTTCAATAAGAATCTATAATTTTCAAATTTTAGCTTCACTTTAAAATTGATGATTTGTAGTGACTCTAATAGATTAGTTTATAGTTTCAAATCTACTGTACATCTTTTAAGTCATCATAGTGGAAATAATAACAAATGATGTTTTCTTACTAATATGACTAGTGATGTATTTAAAGTTTGAAAAATTGATCTTTTCACTGTTATAGAAACCACACAAGAAAATGTAATAGAAATATCTTTAAGAGAAACTGATATTGAATATACAGCTCAGAGGGAAAATATATATATTTTTAGGGAATTTACTAAGTTTTAATTTAGCACATGTGACTAACCATTGTCTATTGTTGAGAAGTTTCCCAGTTAGACCAAACACACTGTCTTTTCTTAATGAATATGTGATAAAGAATAAATACATTGCTTACATATGTAAAGTATCTTTCTATATTGTTCATGTTTACAAAAATAATGTACAAATATAGTCATTTCATAAGTTTTAAAAAATATTTCAAGCTTATGTTTACTTTTAAATTTGCTGTCTTCAATTTTATTACAAACTTCTGAAAGGCAATTATGTACTTGACCTTCCATACCACTGGCTAGTTCTGCAATCACAGATTTAACTTGAGCATTGACTGATTTTGGTATTGTCAGGGGTTTGGAAACAATCCCCATCACATATGGAGATATCTCGAGATATCTATAGAGTTGAATTATAGGGTTAAATGCTCAAAAATTCTTTTATTTATTTTGTTTTATTATTTTGTACTGTAGATTGAATCCAGGGAAGCTATCCACTGAGCTATATTCCCAGCTCTATTTATTTTCTTTTATTTTGAGACAAGGCCTCACTAAGTTACTTAGGGATTTTCTAAGTTGCTGAGGCTGACCTCAAACTTGTGATTCTCCTGCCTTAGCCTCCCATGTCGCTGTAATTATAGGCATGTGCCTCTCTACATGGCCTCATTTTTTTTTTCATCAAGAATGTATTACCATACTTAGGGTTAACTATGAAATTAATATTAAAACAAAATATTTCTAGACACTTATATGTACTGAAAATAAAGTACAGAACTGATGTAGAACACACGAGGCTGGATACCTGAGGAATTTTCAGGAAGCAAGCTTATTTAAGCTGCAGCCATTCAGAGGGGCTTACTTATGCTTAACAATCTCTGGACCCTGAGTCCGGACATTCTTTTAGATTTATACCGAGTGGGGTGGTTATATGACAGTGGGAACATGACCATTATTCTTTGTCCTGTATTCTTAGGCTCCACAAAGATTTCACACTTTTTGTCTGTAAACCTGGCATTTACAAGAAAAAGGAAGTGTCAAACCGCATTGAGCTCTCTGCAGAATGATGAAATACTGATGATATACTTTGTAAAAATCGTTTTGATAAGAAGAAAAGCTTAATTATAGTGATGGGTTCTTTTGCGTGGGGGTACCAGTCTGCTTCAGTACCAATACCATAATGTTTTAGAAATATTTCTCATTTTATTTATGTATAAAGTAAATTGCAAAAAAAAGAGATTATGAAAAGTAATGCTATAGAATTATCCCTATACACTGATTTGGTTAGAAAAATTATCAATTAAGGGTAATCCAGGAATACATATAAAGGAAAATACACATACTTAGGTAGTTTTTTTTTTCCTAGCCATTACTTTGATTAACTATTAATCCTATGAAGATGTTTAGAATAGAGTTTGGCAAATACTTTCTGTAAATTGCCAGATAATAAATATTTTAGGCTTCTCAGGCTACATGGTCTTCATACCTACTCACTTCTGTCATTAAGTAGAAAAGCAGCTTTACATAATACATAAGCAAATGGGCATGGTTGTGTTAGTTCATCTTTATTTATAGAAACAGGCCCTTGGCAAGATTTGGTCCAAAGGCCTTTAGTTTGCCAACCCAGATTTAGAGATATTCAGAGATTTTGAAGGAGATTTAGCTGTCCCATCAGAAGTAGTAGTGACAATGTCCAGTTTTACCTGATATTTGTATAACTGATGAGGAATCTATACAAAAGATCACCTATGATTTTTAAAAAACTTAAGTGCAGATGTTCTTGTAGTAGAGATGTTCTTGTAGTACTAGTACTACAAGAACATCTGCACCTAAGTTTTTAAAAGTAACTTTTATAGAAGAAAATAACAGTAATCAAGATAGTTTGATACTGGGTAAAATAAAGATATAGATTAATAGAAAATAATAAATATTCTAGAAATTGATCCACATTTGATCCATATATGTATCATTAATTGAATTATATCCAAGTGTTAATTATATCCAAGTGTTAATGTGATTCTATGGATAAAGGATAGATGGCCTTCTAAGCACATGGCTCAGGTACTATTGTATAACCAAGCCTTACTATTTCCCTTTCTTTTGTTGCTAGTAAAATTTATGGTTGAGTCTGGAAATAAGACTGCATGATATTTGTCAGCTAAGAAGCTAGGAATAATTTATTTGCTAAACAAGTAAGATAGATACGGTATTTATGTTAGTATAGATTAGGAAAAAAATGAAATACTCACTGTGAGGAATATTTTATGAAGTTTGCTTAAAATTAATTAAGGATTGCCTGGAAGAATTAAGGGCCCAGTTGAGGAAAAACATATGAAATTTAGTAGAATAATCCATTTTCACGAATGCTGAGAAAATAGACTGGGAATTAACAAATATTGGTTCAGGGTATTAACATTTGTTCCTCTAGATCCTCTTTCTGCCTTTGTCCATGCTATCCTCTAAACAATGGAGATCAACTTAAATAGCTGAACTTACCCTCCAGCAACTGAATGGATTTTGCTGATATGAAACACTATGAACAAACTAAATGAAAAAGGAGAGTAAGGTTGTTTATGTAACTCTGTCTCCTTTCTATTTAATTCACCTTTAACTGACTGTGTCCCATATTTTATGTTTTTTTGTTTGTTTGTTTGTTTTTCAGGTTCTAGGTCCTGCTCTTTTCTCTGTCCCTTCAGGCTCAGTGTTGATAATGGTGATCTGCCATTGTTAATACTTCAGATCCATACTATCCCTCCCAGTTTTTTTTATTCTATCTATATATTTGTAAATAATCCCTCTGTTAATCTTTTCCCCAAAATCCAATTGGAATGTTTTATCAATTCATTGATGTGACCCTTACAAACCAGTGGATGAACACATTGGAGAAGGCCAGAAAACTACTTGTAATTTATTCATTATTGTGTCTAAATTGATTATGAAGGAATAAACCTGGAAGAAGACCAGGAGATTTGAATGAGGTCAAAACTATCAATCTTCACAATTAGAGGGAAGTGATGAAAAGTGACAAGGTTATGTTCATAGGGAAAACTTAGGGTTTTATTTCTTTGTAGTGAATTTGTGTTGTGATTATTCCCTATGGGTAACTATGGGGTGAATTGTTTGGGAGGAGAAATTTTAACTCAGCTGCATTTACTAAGAATCTCACCTGTGATAAGCAACATGTTAGGTATTCTAGGTGAGCCAAAATAGTTAAGCCACAAGCTATTGTCTTATAACAGGGAGAATACCTCATTTAAATTTGTAATTAAATTTATGAAATTATTTTTTAAAGCTTTATAAAAATATCCTGATATTGAACCCATCAATGATTTGAACTTTCACATTACTAAGTTGCTAGCCATAAATTACGCACCTGAAGTGTTTTAAGTACCATTGTTTCTTCTAAAGCAGAAATGTACTACCACTACCACACATACATATATGTGATGACCATTATTATCCAAAGTACATGTATGAGGACTCGAATTGGTGTGAGTATACTATGTGTACAACCAGAGATATGAAAAATTGAGCTCTGTATATGTAATAAGAGTTGTAATGCATTCCGCTGTTATATGTAAATAAAAGAAGAAAGTATACATTTCTTACTTATTATTCTTATTTTTTTAACTTTGCTGCCAAAATTTAACACTTAAAATTCCAAAAGATAGAATGTCTTTAAATTATTAATTCCCTTTTTCTAATAATTACAGTTTTTTTAAACTTTTTTCTTCAGCAACCTTTACCAATTTGTCAGTAATTACAAAGGAAGAGGACATTAGTGATTTCAAAAGTGCTTGAAAATGAGAAATTTACCTAAGAAAATTGACTTGTTAATTATTCAAAAAATTCTGAATTCAAATTCACATGAGATATTATCTCCTTCAATTTTTGTATAATGTTCTTGTTTAATAAAGGGTATTAATTTAACATATGTACAGACTAATATACAATGAAAGACTAAAAGCTTTAAAATTTAATATGGTCACTCAATGAAGTTCACTTGTTTTTTTTTTCTCATTAAAAATAACCAGTCCCAAGGATAATGTTAGAAAAGTATGTTATATTGTGTTCCGTCTACAAAGAAGCTATTTCAAGAAATGAGAATAATAAAAGTTATTCCAAAACTTTGAAAGCTCTGTTGTAATGAATTGAACTAGTTCACTTTCTGATTGCTTGCCAGCAGTCTAGCCATCTCCCACAAACTTCTGTATTGATCTGGTAGCCTTTGTGGCAGTGCATAAAGAATAACCATCTGTGTTGGGTACAGCAGCAGGTGCCATCTCCATTGAACTGGCTGCTGCCCTGATCACAATGAAGCTGTTTAGAGCACCTGGTGACCATGACATGCTTTCTTTTCTTTAGAAAAGAAACTAATTTTTAAGTTTACTGAACAGAAACTGAGAAACTCACCAGAAATCATCAGTTGTTGAGTCACTGGGAAGGACTCCAGTGATGGTGAAGTAAGTGATCTAGTGATGGAAAGAATCTGACCTGCAGCAGGAGATTCTTGGTCATGCACACTAGGATGAAGTTCCCATTTTGACCATTCTGAAGAAGTCCTGATCTTTTCCTTTAAATCAGGTGTTAAGGTCAGGTAATCCACATAATATGGCCAATCTGGTCTAATTAGAGACATGGGTAAAGAGGTCTGTATTGGAAGAGGTTGAGTTGCTGTCGCCGTATAAAACCCAACACTAGGAGTTACTTCTGCAAAGTAAGATAGTGAGTCTGCATATAGTGGTTGATTGTTTTTGAGGTCATTTGAATGTGTGGTTTCTGAATACATCTTGAAAGTTACATCTGAATATTTTTGTAAGTTTAATTCAAAATCTAGAGAGGTAACACTTGTGTGAAGTTTGAACAGTTGATAAGACACTTCACCCTCTTTCATGTCCAATAAATTGTCTTGATTTAGTGCTTCGGTGGGACTCATAGTTACACTGTATTTTCCTAATCTTGATAGTTTAAGAATGTCTTCTGATACTGACAGATCATCAGTAGTCAGTTTTGAAGTCAAATCAGAATACATCAAGTCTGAATACACAGTTTGGGAAGATACAATGGATAAACAAGTCTCATTTGAACATAAATTAACATCTAAATTACTTGATAGGGTAATGGATTCTTCCAAGGATGAAAATAAAATTGTTCTTTTTGCACTCTTTTTAGATGGAAACAAAGATGACAGTTCTGTGAATGCCACTGATGGTATTATTTCAGTATGAGGAGAAAACGAATGCCCAGAAGTGATAGTTTGAGTTCCCATTAGTGCATACCAGCTGGCTAATATCGCTGAGTTCATCCAGAATGTCTCATAAAATTGGGACTGTTTACTATGCAAAACCTGATCTGAGAATTCATGAGAGGATTTTATTTCAGTCATAGAACATGTTGCACATGTTTGGCTTAATTCACTTAAAGAATCAGCAGCCTGTGATTTGATGTTTGTGAGTCTCTGGTTGCTAGATTCTTCAGTAATAACCCGATATTCACTGGGAATGGGAGTTTGCGTTCTAAATTGGTAGAGAGTTGATGAGTTTAAGATGGCTACCTGTTTGGATATAATTATCTTAGCAGGAAAAATGGGAGACATTGAGGGGCTCAGCAATCTCCAGTGCTTTCTTCTTGAAATTAAGGAAACAGCTGAATATTCTTCAATATCCTCTTGAGCCCTCCTAGAGACAATTGGAGGTGCACTTGTGGAAGCAGTTGTGAGCAGGAATCCATGGGAGAGTAATGAGAGCCTGTTTAACTTAATATCAGCTCCTGGAATGCTGCTAATTACTGAACTCATTGTGGCAGCAGAAAAGGCAACAGTGTGATAGTCCTCAAATAATGAAGATGATGTGGGAAAAATAAAATCTGTCATTAAGGAAGAGATGATAAATGGGGTCCTTGATCCCTGAGGAGAAAGAAAGAATGCTTGTGTAGCTGCTGAAGTTTGGATAGGCATATGTGATGCAGATGTTTTGCCCTGGACAATTTGTGCTGGATCATGAACACCAAAATTCAGAAACTGAGAAGAGGAAACATCTGTGGAAGAAAGAAGACTCTGTTTTGCTGAAAGCTCTCTAGTGGAAATCAGTTCTTTGAGTAAGTAGCTTTCAAAAGCTATGCCAATACTTAATGCTGCCAAACCAGTGGTTGCAGGAACATCATGCTTGAAAATATCTCTGTGTTTCGGAGCTTTAGAAAGGAAAAGGCAAAAAAGAAATCAGAAAAGTGAGTTAAAAATGAATAACTTTGGATCTTTAGCAAATTGCACTGCCACCTCACACCTATTATATGCAGACAGATTTGGCTCTGTAAATCACATTTCTAATAAAAGTGTATGAAGAAGTTTAGTGACTTCACAAACTGCATAAATGCAAAGTCTGTTATTATTCACATTCAATGGGAAGGCCGAAATAGAGTAATGGTGTTACACAAAATTGCCATTCTCAATCAAATGACTCCTTTAAATTATAAAACTAAAATTCTTTATCATGGATAGAACTGATAAATATTTGAACTATTTTGTTAGAAATATTCAAAATTTTGTTTTACTTTCTAAATAGTAAAATATTTTTTACATTTGATAACACTCTATTTTTACTTAATTCTTTAAAAGAATATAAATCAGGAGCTCGGGTTGTGGCTCAGAGGTAGAGCGCTCGCCTAGCACATGCAAGGCACTGAGTTCAATCCTCAGCACCACAAAAAATAAATAAAACACAGGTATTGTGTCCAACTACAACTGAAACATTTTTTTAAAATAACATACATTTATAAACAAAAATAGAAAATGATAGTTTCTTCTTAGAATGTACAAGAGTATTCAAAGACACTTTTTCATAGACAAAAAATATCTTATTAAGGACTGTAATTCTTACTAATCATTCTGAGTAACACTTTCTATATGAAGAATGAATTTGGAATTGAACATACATTCTACATTTTATAAAATGACATAATTTGACTTACTGTTAAGTCATAGCACATAACAGGAGACTCAAGTTGTTAACATTTTTCAAAATAGAAAAATAATCACTTATTTGTTTCTGAGAGTTTTCAAATAAATTATTGAATATAAAAACTTCATATAACAATTAAGAGGACATTAAATGAAGATATAATGATATAAGTAGTACAAGGCCCTTTTCAAAAAGATTCACTGATAGTTAAAACAAATATGCTAGAATTGGAGTCCAGTTATTCACCAAAATTTACACATCAGAATAAAGATTGTTGACATTTTTTTCCAGTTACTTCCCTTCCCCAAAATGTACTTATTAGCAAAGGATATCAATATTTTCAAAACTTAAAACAGGATGTGTAACTAACAAGAATTCTAAATTTTGCACCCTTAAAAAATCTATATCTTGGAAAAAAATAAATAATTTAGAAATAAAAACTTAGAAAACAGGTTTTCAATATAAATTTTTTCAAACTCAACTTCATATTTTAATTACTTCTACTTACCTTCATTGCCTGGATAAGTATTCATTATGGTCCATATTTTTGTAGCCCTTGTAGATGGTAAGATACTGAACAACATTTCAGAAGGAGGCACTGTATATATTTGTGTAAAAATGGTTGGAGAGATGCTTGGAGAGATGAGAGGTGAACTGGTGATGCTGCTTATTTCATCACCACAAGGAAGTGCAGTGGAGCAACTCTGCAAAAGGAATCACCATAATTAAATTAAGCTCAAAGTTTCTTTGTTCCTATGAGGAGATTTTTTTAAAGTTTATTTTCAGGTCCATTTTTCATTTTTATACTTACATTAAATAGTGTAAATCATTCATCTTATTTTACTTAAAAAATGAAATCTTCATAGTAAAATTTATCGATATTTCAAAATTAGTTAAATCTTTCAAATTTGTGATATACTCAATTAAATGTCTAAATTTGTTCTTAGTTCCTTTAATTTCAATTCATGATACTCCCTTATATTTGCTTTTGGGATATTTTTTCCCCTGAAAAAATTGTACTTTGGTCTTCAGTATGGATATAAAAGCAATATAATAAATTATAAACCATTTTCTCCCAAAAGTCATATTTAGTTGACAGCCAATAAGAATGTCATATTTATAAAACATAATTGAAAACATTTTTTTGTGATGTTCAACTAATTTTACTTTGTACTGGCTTATAGAAGAAATTGGCTTGTATATTTTGTAAATTGTTTGACATGAATAGCCTATTTCTGTCCTATCCTTATAAAATAATTTCCATACAAAACAATTGATTGAAGCATATTACAAAGAGATATTTTATGCATGCATAAATAAATGCAAATGGATCAAGGAGATTCTCTATAAAAAGTAGAGTTAAAACAAAGTTATATTAAAAAATAGAAAAACAGTTATATTATTTGAAGCATTTTGATCTTTAAACACAAATTTTGAAATGATTTAAAAATACAATTATATGTTTATTTCCCAATAATGAAGATATAGCCAATAGATTTCCCCAATTTACTGCTTTAACATTTGTCAAAGGTTGTATTTACTTTTCACAAATCTTAGGTCTTGATTTAGACGTATATTCTTTTTTGCTTTGTGGTGTATATTCTGTATTCACTTTCAGCTTATAACTAAAAGTTTCTATCAAGGTCAAAGGATTCATGATGTTAGAAAATTGCATTAAAAAGTCTAACATGTAAAAAATAGTCAAGAGTGAATCTGGAAGCAATATAAGAAACAACAACAACACAAAAAAGGAATATGATTTTATACTTAATGACCAAAAGATTTATGCTTTCCTCAAGGCTAAGCTATAGCATGGAAAGACTTCATAGATTAATTAAAATACACATGAAATCAGGGTAGAGACCAGAATGTCAGAATGCATCTGTACTCGTTTACAGTGAAGATGTGGCTAGTACATGGCTCATAAATGCTTGTGTGGTCCTGGTCAGATCTTTTTTCTTGAATCCTAATCAGAAGCCATTATTAACTACCATGAGGAATAGGTGATAATCAACAAGTTACCTAAGAATCTCATGTGTTTTTGACATGTATTACACCAGAACATGTAGAATTAGGTGATTCAAATGCTCAGTGGAAGGATATTTCAGTCCAGCAGACAGGAAACCATACTTTCTCCTTCCTCTATTATATGCACACATTGGTGGGCTGAGTTTCTTATCCATCATGTGCTGTTCATAAGGTTTGCTCTCAAAATCGATTTTATTTACTGAATTTCAGGCTTGATTCCAAATATCTCATTCTATTCCCTATTCCCCAAGTATTAGCAATAAGCATCTCATCAAACATATATATATATATATATATATATATATCTATAAAAGTAGATATATATATAAGTGTATGTATAATAAATATATATATTTATGCATGTATATGAGTGTTAGTGCATTTATTCAATGTCATTACAAATGTGGGATACAAATATTTGATGTTAATACATTTATGTATGATATATGCACCTCAAAGTCTGCAAATGCAATTCATTCTAGAGACATTTCTCTATTCTTCCTTATTAAATCTCTGTTACAGACTTACTATACCTATTTCTTTTTCCCTTTGGATTGTATGCATCAATTGTTCTTGTGTGTTTGTGTAATTATGAGTTTTAATACATGGTCATGAAGTCTGCCACTTTCTGATAGATTCATAAAAGTCTGTGGTGTGTGATCTTCCAGCCTCTTCCCTTATGTTGTGACATGTGAATTCATGTATTAAAGATGGCCGAGTGACAAAAAGTAGCCTTGGTGCCTAAAATATCTCACTGAACGAGAGGAGCTGAAATCAGAGATATTCATTTGGAGTTCATGTGAATGAGGAATAAATTTCTATTGTATTGATCTACTGAAGTTTTGAAGGTTGTTGTGATAGCAGTTATCATAGCCCTAATAGATCTTTTGACCTTTCTGATCACATTCTCTGTTATGTATAATAAAGATAAACTGAGACAAAACTCCTCAAAATGATTGCACATTTCTTCCTGCATAGTCACTTGATTGCACATGAAGCATATAAGAATTCTAAGTATTTAGCTTTAACTCATAAACCTTTAATTTGATACTTGTTATTTCTTAACTTCATGGTTACTATAGTTTACTAATTTTGTCAATGTAATTCATTCCTTCATAAATGCACCTTGCAAACAGGTATTTAGTGCCTTATTAAAATACAATAATGAGGTGCTGATATTTATAGAGAACTAAATAGGTTTCAAGATAATGTTAGGCATTTATATAAAATGTCATAACTTAAAAATTGTCTTTCTGAATCTATATTTGAAGAAAAAAATGCAGAAAATATCTTGAATCAGTGCTTTATGAAATTCTGATCACCTGCTTTCTCGTTAACCTTGGGTAGCTTTGCATGTCTTCATTTAGTACTAAGTGATGAAGTGCAAGCTATAATGATGGTTATAAGTGCTCATCAACTTATAGATGGAACTGGCCAACCGGATAGGTAATTTTTTTTTATTTTATAGCTTGATTATAGAAAAGGAATCAAAATTTGAATTAGTTTAAACAACAGCAAAATGGGCAACTAAAGAGGCAAAGGAGGAAGTGAAGTCTTAGATATGGCCAAGAACTAGATAATTCAGGCTGCTGCTTTGTTTACTTATCAGTTGTTTAAATTGGAGTTAATTCTAAGAGACTGGAAGCCATTGGAATACATAGGACAAAAAAAAAAAGTGATGTAGTATGATTTACATAGTGAAAATATTTGCAGAAACATATACTGTCAAGGGATATTGGTGTGGTGGGAAGAAAGGAAGCTGGTATATCAATGAGATGCTGCTTACAATGATCTAGAAATTGGGTGAATAAACTCTGGCTGGGAGCCGAAGCAGTGCATAGTGTGAGGAAAGGTTTCATTCAGGATGTATTTGGAAGACAGAGACCATAATACTGCTGAAGGACAAGAAACATGAGGTCAGAATAAAACTTTAATGAATGATTACTAAATTTTTGTTTCAATGCATGGAATGACTAATAAAGCCATTTACTAATTGAAATATCAGTAAAGGCCAGTTATAGATTGGGGGTATATCAGGATTTCTTAATAAATTCATTAAATTTGAGAAGCTTATTAGCTCCCAGTAGTAAGTTAAAAATATGAATCTCTCCTAAGGCAGACTAATCCTTAAATCATTTCAGTGAAGTAAGAAGTATGGTTTAAAGGAAACCTGCACTATCTTATAGTCTTTTTGCTAATTCTTTGATCATCGAGATAGAAAGTCAAAGCCAAGATTCAAACCAAGCAGTGAAACGCATGGCCCATACTCATAGCCACTAAACTTTATTTTGATCTCCTGGATCATCTCCAAGTTTTTATGAACAGTTCTATTCTACACTTGATTATTATAGATAACAAAAATCAAGATAAGGAACTACTCTACTCTAGTAGTTCTACTCTAACAGTTTAACACACATAACTGACAATTAGATTTAACCATCAACAACCAGGTAAAATAGTGTTTATTATCTCAATGGATTCATATTCTAGTGAAGTATTATTTTACATTCTGTTGACATATCATTTATAGATGTAACTGTATATCTCATTCTTATTTTCTATTAAAATGTATACATTGAAGAAACATTCCAGTGTTTGTATTTCATTTAATATCTATAATACTGTGGTTTAACCTATGTTTCTAAGAACCCAAAGGATAAATTTGTAAAGTTTTCAAACTAATTGGCAGCTTGAAATTTACAACAGTTTCAAAACATGCAGTATTGCATATACATAGAAGTGCCTACCTAATTTGTGTGGGCCAGTACAGAGTGAAAACATGGAGTGTGGGCAGCCAGTCTGAATGATTAGTGTTCTCCATCCAGAGGCAGAGAGGCTCTGAATGTCACTACGTGTTGTAGTGACCTGGACATTGCCCTGGTCCCAGAAGGTTTAGGACACATCTTCAGACATAGGCATGTCTCCCCGTGGATTGAGCTAAGCTCACCTGTTCCTTTGTGATATTACCCCTTTGCCCTGTTTGGGACAGAATATTCCATGAAAATGCCCTTTGTGTGTCCCTTTCTCTTGCTCTGCTTTGGGTATGGCCAATCTGCTGACAGCAGACATGGCGAAGCTGGACTCAGCCCCCAGGAACCTGACCGCTTGCCTCATTTGAATATCTTCTCTTCAATAAACGGGTTCAGCACGTGCTTATTCTCTCTCTTTCTGCGGACCCTTAAGGTCAGAGGAGCCAGCTGTCACAGGACCCCAAAGAAAAGGTACCTCTGTCTCTTTGGTGATTATTTCATGCAGCCCAATTCTTCTGGAGTGACCCTGAGTGTTTTAGTTCCGAGGAACGCGACAATGGAGCCCCTCATTGAAAAATGATTACGTATTTCAGCTCAATGACAAGAGAAGAGCAGACTAAGAGTCTATTTGTGTGAGTGTGAATGAGTGTGCTCATACATGCAAAGGGACACAGGAATCTTAAGGACAAAGTTTTGGTCCACTCTCAGGTCACACACCCCTGATGCTAGTCTGCTTATTAATACTACTTTGTATCATATAACACTGATCTACCACTTTGCTCTTTGAAATATTTTATTTTTCTTAAAATAAAAATGCTTTTGAAAATTAAAAGAAACATTTTCAATGATTGGTATGCTAAGTTCATGGCATAGTTTTTGCTGCAGAATTATAAAGGAAAATTCAAGCATAGGGACCAATATAAAGT